GTCTGTCCAGTGAAGAGTACGCCCTCTGCAGCATGTAAATAATTGCGTCCTCCACACCTACATGGGGCTGATATGCAAATTGCAGGGGGTCAGCTGATGATCGCACCTGTGGCCTGAGGTACACCAGGACCAATCTCTCATCACCTTCATGATATGCGAGGTCAGCGCAATTGGTCTAAAGTCATTTAAGCCTACAGGATGCACCTTCTTGGGCACTGGTACCAAGAAGGTGCATCCTGTAGGCTTATGCACCTTCTTGGTACCAGTGGCCAAGAAGGTGCATCCTTTTTGTGTAAGTGGGGAACATAGAAGCTTTTTTGCAGGGTTAAGTGGGGAACATAGAACCCTGGAAACACAGGGATGACCCCCATTTCCTCATAGTTCATAGATCATTTTGACCATTTTCATATGAATCAAATGATGTTGCATGTAATCAGAAACTCCATATGTAATGAGTTTCACAAATCTGTTCATCTGAACATCAAAGAATAAAAGCAACAACTGCCAGAAATCTCATTTTCTGTTGCTTCATTTAAAATATTGACTCTCTAAAATAAAACACTCGACTTCCTCCCTCTCAACACTGAATATCCTCACCTGTTAACACACACACAGAACTTCATATAACTGCATCTTAAAGCAATATAATTTATAGTGTGTAATAACTCTGAGATAAATGAGCTGAGCATTTTATATCAGACTGCAGCAACTCAGTTAAGAGAGCTTGTTTATGTCAGAAATGTTTGCAGAGAGGACTCAGTGTGAGTGTATTTCCTCGTTGGGTCAGATTCTCTATGCTCCACTCTCATTTAGTAATCTCTGAAGTATGTATGGAATACATTTTCCTCCTCCAGGACACCTGGCAAGTAACTGACAGCAAGATTGGTTTGTGTGATCAGATCTCACAAACATGAGGAACGTTTTGAAATGTAACATATTTATATTTTGATGTCTGAATTCTGTAAGAAAACTCGGTTCTAACAAACACATCTGAGATAACATTGTTAATTGTTCTACTTAACTTGGGGGATCAGCCTTTTTATTAATTTGTAACTAATTCTCCCCAAAATAACTCAACAACTATTTGATGGATTGCCATTAAACCTGGTTCAGACAGTCATGATTCCCAGAGGATGAATCATAATGACTTTAGTCCTCACTTAGGATTTCCATGAAACATGCTTCAGATATTCATGTCCCTCTCAGGATACATTATAATAACTGAAGTGAAGATTTGTCCATAGCCAACACATTCTCACTCCGACCTCGTCACATATTGACGTTTGGTCATGGATTTTCCACATTCAGATGTGCAAGGTACCCTGGGTGTGTTGGTTGTTGATGTTCTGGGACACTGTGTCACGTTCTGCCTGTTACATGCATCTTCTTTCAAAATACACTTCTGTTTTACATGCTGTCTCTTTCAAAATAAACACACTACATCGGCACAACACTGCATATTGATGTTTTTTTTTTCCTCCAACAACTAATGCACGTGGTTGGGTTCAGGCAACAAAAACACATGGTTAGGTTTTGGAAAAAAGGTTTGGACGGGAATGCTGCTGTCCAAGGTGAAAGTTGGTGTTTGTTGGACCAATCCATTTTATAGCAATGTCAGTGTGATCATGTTGGCATGGTGATGTTACATTCAGCTCTAAGCACCACTGTGCCTCTGTATATCCTCACAAGGCTGTTAGCAGGCTGCAGACTCTTAAAATTGTTAGTGTAGCAGGGTTGGCTGTTTTTTATGCTGTGTCTCAAATCACATACTTCTGTTAGTACACTTCCATGTAGTATACTATGCGCACTGTACTTATTGGCGTAGTGCACAAATTTCAACAGGGTAGTGTTGTCTCAAACCAAACACGGCCGTTGTGCACTCACTGGAAATGACGACTGCAAATTAGCTAGTTAGCAAACTAGCATTAGCATTTGCGTTATCGTTCGCGATACCAAATCATTACAGACTGCTAAATTAACCCAACAAACATACTGCTGGCTTATACCCGACAACAGTATAGTGGTGCTTAGTGCAATAAACACATGTATGGACAATGAACAATGGACAAAAATAACCCTGATGCACTATGTCACTTTACACATGTCCACACCTTTTATCTTGTCTATTTTTACAGTTTTAATTTTATACTTGTTTTTAAAATCTATACACACTGTGTGTGCTTTCAGAATCTGTGTTGTGTGATTGTTTCTGTATTGTCTTGTCTTGTATGTGGAGCCACGTCGAAGATTTTCTATTACGACAGACAATAAAGTTTTCTGAATCTGAATCTGAACGTATTTGTACAATGCAACGACATTCACGGTTGCACAGTCCTCTGCCGCCATTTCCTGTTTGAAAAGTGGTCCCTCCCCTTCCGCTACATAGCCAAGATGGCAACCATTGAAGGCGAGAAGTGTCCAAAGTTCCACACTCAACTTCTTGACCGTTTTGAGTGCACCATCTGGGTCCTCATAGTGCACTGCATTTTTCCATACTTTTCAGTGTGAACGCACTCATGCACTCAAAATATTAAGTGTAAGTACAGAAGTACGCGATTTGAGACACAGCATTAGTTTTAAAAAGGGTATTTTCTCAAGGGTCTGGATCTCCCATCTGCCCAGTCTACTGTTCTTTTCTGTCTTTAGCTGGAACTGGATTGAAGGAGGGATGTTTGGGGCCTGGTAAAGCTGGGGCTTAGCTAACTGAGCATCCACTCCTATTGAACGGTTGAGTGCTGATTACTGTGTTAGCACCTTGCACTTGACCTTTAGTTTTGTGTGTTTGTGTGTGCATGCAACTTTTGTGTTGGACTGAATGGGTTTTCCCCTTAATTTCCCCGGCTTGTTAGGGAAGTGATCTTACTTCCTGACAAGCGGTTCTGATCATACACAGAGCCCCTCTTGTATGTTTGGCTGTAGCTCCTCCTGGCATTGTTCACGTGTTTTTTATGGTTACCGACAAAAATTGTTCTTTTTAGTTTGTAATTGTTCTTCCTTGAAAAACCGTCTCCTCTGCTGTCCCTTCATGTTCGTTAAAATGATCCAAATCCTGTTGACATTAGTCTTCTTTATTTTTACTTTACGCAGGACATGAAAAAAGCAAACAATATGTAGTGTCAGTGTATTTCCTCTTTTGGTTATATTCTGTTAATCTTCAATGAACGTATTTTTATCCTCCTCCAGGACACCTGTCAGTAAACTGTCAATAACAAAGTGTTTCCTTGTTTGTCTAATCAGAACTCACACAAGGAAGTTAAACATGCTTAGAGCTCTCTCCTGTATAGAGCTCTGTCTCACCTGGAGAAGCCTGGAAGCTCTGTGAGAATCATATTCTATGACTTCTCCAGCGCTTTCAACACCATACAGCCAGCACTTCTGAGGGACAAACTGGAGCACATAGGGGTGGCTAATCACCTCACATCCTGGATCCTGGACTACCTCACGGACCGGCCACAGTATGTCAGTACGGGGGCCCCGCAGGGGACAGTGCTGGCACCGTTCCTCTTCACCCTCTACAAGTTCTCCGACAACTCTGCCATAGTCGGCCTCATCACAGATGGGGACGACAGGGAGTACAGAGAACTGAACCAGGAATTTATGGAATGATGCCTGAGGAACCACCTACAGATCAACGCAGGGAAAACCAAAAAGCTGGTGGTGGATTTCCACAGGCGCAGCCTCCTCCCCCCAACACCGGTGAACATCCAGGGAAAGGACATTGAGATGGTGACATCTTATAAGTACCTGGGTGTTCATCTTAACAATAAACTGGACTGGACTAATCACATAACAGCACTGTACAGGAAAGGCCAAAGCAGACTCTACCTGCTGAGGCAGCTCAGGTCTTTTGGAGTGCAGGAGGCGCTCCTGAAGACCTTCTTTGACACTGTGGTGGCATCAGCCATCTTTTATGGAGTGGTCTGCTAGGGCAGCAGCGTCTTGGTTGCAGGTAGGAAGAGACTGGACAAGCTGATCAAGAAGGAGCTCTGTCGTGGGATGCTCTCTGGATTCTGTGCAGGTGATGGGAGAAAGGAGGATGACAGCCAAGCTGTCATCTCTGAGGACTAATGACTCCCATCCTCTGCAGGAGGAGATAAAAGCTCTGGAGAGCTCCTTCAGCGATAGACTGATTCACCCAAAGTGTGTGAAGGAACGCTATCGCAGGTCCTTCCTGCCTGCTGCTGTCAGGCTACATAACCAGCACTGCTCACAGTAAACTGCACCATGGACACTTTAGGGACACTATGGACACTTTATGGACACCACAGCTGTCTGCTGTTTTGCACATACAATCACCTACACTAGATGTGCTCCCTTTATCCACTGCTCATTTTCATTCACTGCTGCTCATTATGATTATTATTATTATTATTATTGTTATTATTATTATTATTATTGTTATTTATTGTCGTTTCTTTTTTCTATTTTTGTACTTATTTTGCATGCCTAGTTTTTTAAGTTTTAAGTTTTTAAGTTTAATTTTTGAAATCTTTAATCTGACTCTTTCCCCTTAGCTGCTGTAATACTGGAATTTCTCAATTATGGGATCAATAAAGGTGTATTTTATCTTATCTCTTATCTTAACATGTATATATCTGTGCAAATGCTTGTGTGAACTAATCTGATTTATTCTTCTTTGTTGCTGCTTTATTCAGGAATGTTTGCAGACTGAACTTAATGTAAGTGTATTTCCCTGTAGGTTACTTTCTGTACGCTCCACACTCATTTAGTAATCTCAGAAGTATGTATAAAAAAACATTTTCCTCCTCCAGGACACCTGTCAAGTAACTGACTGCAAGAAAATGTTTCCTGGTTTATAAACTTACAACATGAGATGGTAAAAAAGTCTATTAATGTTTATGCAGACTACGGGGATTTAATTAACCTTTTGAATTTATTTGTAACCATTTCTTCCAGCCAAGCCAACATCTATTTTAGAAATCAGACTTCACAAAAGAAAAGCAAATGCTGCACATAAGAACCACAAGAAAGACTGTACATGTGTAGATCTTTTTAATGCTTTAATCTTCATTATTTCTTTATAAGGCAGTGCATTCAACCTGCTGCTTTCCATCAGCAAATATCTGTGTAAAATAATTTCATGAAGAAGCAGAGCATTTTAACATGAGACTGCAGCCTGTAAGTGTTTAACTGTTGAAACAGGTTGTGTGATCAGTAGGGGAAAACTGTGAGCGGGGAGTCTTTGGTTTGGTGTTGCTCTACACCGCGCAGCACAGTTTTTCCTCCGTTACATGGAAGTTCTTGGATGACACTCAAATGAATATAGTCTGCTCCTCCAACATGAACCTGCAGACAAAGAGAGGAAAATTGTGCGTCTAAACAAACACATTCATCTGGATCTTGTGTTGCTGTACAGTGACGATCTTCTACCAACTGGTGTTTACTGTCCTGTCATGACTTTAACATGACATTAGGTTCAACTGGATGTCACAGTTAATTCAACATGAAAATCACACAAAAACACACATCTGATGATATCACAGTTTTTATTTTTAAATATCACAACATTATTTACCTTGATGATCAAGTTTTCTCCAGCCACAATCTGCATCCTGTATTTAACTGCTTTGTATACCCTGTAGTTCTTGCCTGTCTGTTTCTCCACTTGGCCCTTCACCTGTGTGTAAATGGAATAAAACATGATGTAAATCCAGACTGAAATGCAGACCAGAGAGTTGTGTGTGGAGGTTGTGAAGAATAAAGGTGGACTGAAGCTCACCTGATCACAAATCTTCTGAGTTTCCTCAGTGGCATCCTTTGTCTCACTCCAGGCTCCGTCCATTGTTACAAGGTCTGTTGAAGTTAACAGAGGAGTCAACTGTCTGCTTCTACGTGTCTCAAGCGTTTATTTTTATTTGATACTTGAAGTTGTGGGAGGAGCTACAGTACAGGTGTAGGCACAGCCCTCACATGATTGTGATGAGGAAACCCAGTGTATTACTTTGTGCCATTTAAATGCATCACATTTAGAATTTTTATCAGCATAAGGATAAAAAAACAGCAAGCAAAAAGGTTCATTCTCAGTAAAAACTATTACAAAAAGCCGCCTCCAGCTGCTGAAACTCTTTCTGATCGGGGCCTTTGTCTTCTTGGCATGGATGGGTTACTGAACGGGCCTACCAGGGCCTGGGAAGAGCATCAAAATGACAACAAAGAGACCACAAAGAGATGCGAAGGAACTGCAAAGAGACACAAAACGACTACAAAGCGACACAGACTGACCAAAAACGACAACATGACACCCAAAAAACACACAAAATTACTTCAAAGATACACAAATCCACAAAAAGATATATAATGCCCACAAGGAGATGCAAAACCACCACAAAGTCTGAATGTTTGTCTCCCATGAAAGTGACCCAGCTCTTTGTTTTTGCTCTGTTCATAAAAGTTTGCAGGCAAAACTTAGCGTCAGTGTATTTCCTCGTTTGGTTACATTCTGTAGCGCTCCACACTCATTTTGTCATCTCAGAAGTATGTATGAATTTTTTTTCGTATCAAAGGCACCTGTTAAAGGAGCTACATGTAAGAAATCTAAAGCAAATAGTCGTAAAATCATCCTAATATGTCACAGAGACTAAGGAATAATGTTCATATAACATACTGATCTCACCGACAATAATAGTACAGCCAGAATATTTGCATTTAAAACACATTTTTACGGTCCGCAAATCATGTTTCTGTTGCACCACCCATCGCCGTCTACCAGTCACGCAGTCAGTAGAGTCTCAGCATCAGTTACAGTTACGACTGAGCTACAGCAGCACGGCAAGCAGCATTAGCAGTGTCCCAGCATTAGCAGCCGGCTCCTCATGAGCTGTATCCCGGCAGCAGCGTTAGCAGCAGAGAAGCCGGACTTGCTCGAACGGTCTGCTGGAAAGCCGAAGATCAAGGACGCGGCGACGCGGCCCTGCCACGGCAGCCGCCTGTGGGCAAACAAATCAGTCTCCAGCGTGCCGCTGTCCAGCAACCTCGAATCTGTAGGGGAGGGGGGGCGGACATGACTCACGGCAGTATTTTGAATTTGAGTGCAGTAACCGTTTTGGCCACATTCTTACATATAGCACCTTTAAGTAACTTGTGATAAGAAAATGTTTCCTGGTTTATGTAATCGCAACAACAAGAGGATGTTTTTTTTGTCACTTGATTTTAGTTTAGTTAGAGTTATTTCCTGAACTTACCAGACTGATCTGACTGTTCTGCTTTTTTGCCTTTACCCACTTAGTCATTATATCCACATTACTGATGATTATTTATCATTAAAAAAAATCTCTGTGTAATTATTTTGTGATGGCACCAAGAGACAACTCTAAAATATTGTTGTAATATTGATATCGAGGTATTTGATCATAAATATTGTGATATTTGATTTTCCCTGTATCTCGTATGTCTGTGTTAAGTCTTGTGTGACGGGATTTCTTAACGATATTTGTAACCATTTCATTTCATGGTGTCGTCCAGATGCAAAATTCAAAGGTTAATATTGTTTTGATGCCAAATGATGCAGCATTAAGGCAGGACTCCATCCTGCTCAAGTGTGGTGACCTGCTGAACTAACACATCCACAGTGGGGCTGATACTGAGTAGCATTCATCTCACACATTAACATTTCATTCAAATTAACAATAACAATATCTGTCTCAACAAAGTCATTTCCTCATAGTCTCCACTTTCATCTGGACCAAATGATGTTGCATGTAATCAGAAACTCCACATGTAATGAGTTTCACAAATCTGTTCATTTGAACATCAAAAAATAAAAGCAACACCTGCAAGAAATCTCATTTTCTGTTGCTTTATTTAAAATATTGACTCTCTAAAATTAAGCACTCCACTTCCTCCCTCTCAACAATGAATATCCTCACCTGTTAACACACACAGAACTTCATATAACTGCATTATCAAGGAATATTACATATAATGTGTAATAACTCTGAGATACGTTTCCTAAAGGATATGCTAGGGTCCTATTTGTAGACTTCAGCGCAGCCTTTAATTCTAGGAAGCTACATATTCTTTTGAAAAGGCTGTCTCATCTTAATGTTGATAAGGGCCTGATTCTTTGGATCAGAGATTTTCTGTCTTGCCATCCAGTGTTCTATCACCTTTGCTCTTTTCCCTTTTTACAAATGAATTTGCACTTAATGATTGTAATTTTAAATTGATTAAATATGCAGATGACATGGCCTTAGTTGGCCTGTTACAGAAAACCAACCCCTCTGGTGAGGCCTCGTATCTTGCCCACGCTAAGGCCCTTGAAGCATGGTGTCAAAATAGCCACCTAGAAATCAATGTGCCCAAAACAAAGGAGCTGGTTATTTGTACAAAGCAAGACCTGAGAGCACAACCAGTTTCACTTGATGGCCAACTTGTTGAAACTCTGGAAACCTTTAAATATCTTGGTACAGTTCCTGACTGCCAGATGAACATCTCTGAAAACACAGATTATATCTTTAAAGAGCTTAATGCCAGAAAAGATTGCAGAGAGGGAGAAGGTGCAGAAACACTCAACTTCCTCCCTCTCAACACTAAATATCCTCACCTGTTAACACACACAGAACTTCATATAACTGCATTATCAATGAATATTATTTATAGTGTGTAATAACTCTGAGATAAAGGAGCTGAGTTTTTTATATCAGACTGCAGCAACTCAGTTAAGAGAGCTTGGTTATGTCAGAAAAGTTTGCAGAGAGGACTCAGTGTGAGTGTATTTCCTTGTTGGGTCAGATTCTGTACGCTCCACTCTCATTTAGTAATCTCAGAAGTATGTGTGGAATACATTTTTGATGTCAAGTAACTGACAGTAAGAAAGTTTCCTGGTTTGTGTGATCAGATCTCACAACGACAAGGTTAAAAATCTTTATGTCTATGTTAAGGTTTGTATGAACTAAAGGGATTTAGGCTATTTACCCTCTGAATGTATTTGTAACCATTTCTTCCATTCAAGACAACATCTATTTTAGAAATCAGACTTTAGAATAAAACAGCAAATGCTGCACATAAGAACCACAAGAAATAATTATCATTTCTTAATGCTTTAATCTTTTATTATTTCTTTAGAACGAAATGCATTTAACCTGCTGTTTCCCAACATCAAATATCTTTATCTGTAAGTATTAATACATTTAAAATCAGTGTCAGGTCATTTCAGAACAAAGAAGCAGAGCATTTCAACATGAGACTGCAGCCTGTAAGTGTTTAACTGTTGAAACAGGTTGTGTGATCAGTTGGTGAAAGGTACGAGGGGGTAGTCTTTGGTTCTGTGCTGCTCGACACCACGCAGCACAATCCGATGTCCGTCACAAGAATATACGCGATGGACATTCAGATGATGGTAGTCCTCTCCAACATCAACCTGCAGGAAAAGAGAGGAAAATTGTGCATCTAAACAAATATATTCATCTGGATCTTGTGTTGCTGAACAGTGAAGATCTTCTACATTCACAACTTGTATACTTGAATTTTTTGTCAAATATCACAATATTTTTTACCTTGAGGAGGAAGTTCTCTCCAGCCACAACCTGACTCCTGTATTTAATTGCTGTGAATACCACATAGTTCTCGCCAGTGAAAGCCTCCACTTGGTCCTTCGCCTGTGTGTGAATGGAATAAAACATGATGTAAATCCAGACTGAAATACAGACCAGAGAGTTGTGTGTGGAGGTCGTGAAGAATAAAGGTAGATTAAAGCTCACCTGATCACAAATCCACTGAATTTCCTCAGTGGTGTCCATTGTGTCACTCCATCCTCCGGGCTTGTTGGCCATTGTCACAAGGTCTGTTGAAGTTAACAGAGGAGTCAAACGTCTGCTGTACGAATCAGAAGAGGTGTATTTTCAGTTGGTTATCAGCGTATTTATACTGTGTAACTGCCTCTGGATACAGACTGCAAAGTGGCCTTAATGGCCGATGTTCTGGGTGGAGCTACAGTATACAGTATGTGTGGTCAGTGTTGCTCACCCTTCTTGAATTACTCCCTAATTTCAGTTGTCTGTAGCACTTCCCAAAATTGGAGGTTTCAAATTAAACACTTCTGATTGTCTCGTGCAGCTGGCAGAAGTCGTCAGCAAAAAACAAAGAAGCTCTGCAGTATTATACACACTGGGCGGCAGCAGTTTGTAACGCTGCTGGCAACTACATGGCTTTTTCTTGACTAAACTTACGGAAAGAAACCTAAAAATGAAGTGTTTTGCCGACCGTAATTTGGGACTGTATGCAGGTAATGAGCAGACACTGTACAAAAAGTGTGTTTAAAAAGGACGCACAACAAACGTAAACTGGCACACCATTCCTGAACATCCAAAACTGATGCACGGATGGGTACCTGTAGTATGTCATATTTATACACTTATAGGTCCACTGTCAAAGCGATGGTATTTGATGAGTTGAGATGAGAATGTGTTGAATATAGATATTATAATGCAGGCAGACGCTGATTAGCTTAGCTTAGCCCAGCATAAACACTGGAAACAGTGAGAAACAGCCAGCCTGGTTCTGTCCTTGAGTTAAATCCACCTACACAGTGAAGTCTGTTAGTAAGGTTGCCAAGCAACTAGTAAGGCATCAGGCAGGTGTCAATATTCTCATTTAACTTTTGCAATTTTATGTTCTGTTGACTCTGCCTCTGCTTTGTCTTTCTTGGAGTCTCTGTTGGATTTTGGCCAGACTTCCTGTCCTGTACCTTGTTTCAAGTGAAGTCTGGTATGTTTTGGTTCTGTTGTCACACATTAAGATAATGATCCCATAGATTTATACAGTGAAAACACAAAACTTCCTTTGAATGAGGTTGAAATCAATCTTACCTCTGTGAACATTTGTGTCCACATAGTTCTGATTAGTCACCAATATTGCATGTTTCAATGGTGCAGTGTCTACTTCAGTCTGTTTACTATAAAACCTAATGAATTTCCATGTCAAAGATGCCCTGTTTAATTTGTCATCTTACCCAGGAAGCAAATACACAATGAGGCTCTGCACTCAGTTGTGTTCACAAACCTGTACCACCACAACAATGGCTGACTCTTCACTGAATCCCTCAACTGAGCTTCACCCAAAATGGTTCTGATGTTGCAACTGTACTGACCAAAACTCTCTCCCTAACTGTTGAGTAATTCTAACGAGCGATGTGGAGGAGCATTTCTTGCCTAATCTACATATTTCTGTAGTAATGATGCAAAAAAAGGGGGAGTGAACACAACTTTACACAATATACATACTGAGTGAGGAAGTTGAGTGACCTGCAAGTGCCCCCTGACCTTCTTGTACTTCTGGGATTAAACAAGCTCTCAGACCCAAAATGCAATATTCATTATTTTTTGCTCTGTTTTGGTCTTCACCTACTCTTAATAACAATCCAGTTTGTTATCTGCTAAATGCTCCACTATGTTCATCAGCTACTCACTAACTTGTCTATCAGCTGTTTGGTGCTGACCCGATAGTGAAAAATGGTGTAATCAGAGCTATTTGTGCAATTTTTGGGAAGTGTTGCAAGTAATTCACAAAGGATGAGCAACATTGACCACACCTGTACTGTAGCTCCACCCAGATGGGCCAGCTGCTGCTTGCATGTGGGTTATTAAAAATAAATAAATAAAAATCACATACAAATGAGATAAATGCAACTTTTTAATCTTGCAGTGAAATAGTATCTAACTTCCACCCAGCTGTTGTCTTTGCTCCTTTGACAATCGTTTGTTCACTGTCTTTCAATGAAAACACATTAGTTTCACCTGCGTTGTTCCTACTTGAATGAGACCGTTTCTTGCCAGCCAGCCGCCATTTTCTTTTTTCAATCACACGTTTCATTACATCACCCACCAACGGGAGCGTTTATAGGTCTGGTGAGGCGCAGTGCTCTGTAGTATTTGTAGGTTATCTCACTCTTGAGCAAAAGAGTTCTTGTTCTCTGTTTTCTCTGGTTCTGTAGCACCAATTTCAAAAGTTTCTTTTTTTATATGTTTTGCTTGTTTTTCCTTTTGGAAACTTTAATAAGAATATTTTGGAAAAAAGGTCATCTTCCCCCCCCAAACTGAGAGCCAAACAGGGTGCACAAATGTACCTAAAAAAACAATATAAAGATTCTACCAAAACATTTCTCTCTTTATAAATATGTTTGTCTTCACTTTATTAGCATCTGTCTATGCATATGTAATGTTCAGCTGTTGCTTTTCAGTTTACTAAAGGTTTTGTGCTAAAACTACATAATTTCAAACGAATATTCACTCTGAAAATGTAAAATTTAAAATCAATTATTTACTCCATTTTATTCTCTCATTTAATCTGACTCACTGGCATCTATACTGATGCTTACACTGGTGCAGTAAATCTCCGAAGTGTTACCTTTAACTTTAGACAAGATTTTTCCATATAAGTCTTTAGTTGCAGAGAAATACTCTTAATTTTGGGCATATGGTTTTCAAGTGGAGGCCTGAGCCAGAGGCCCAGTGAGCAAAGGTTTAAGACTTTTACTCAAGTAATATTTTAATAGGTGACTTTAACTTTTACTAAAGTCATTTTCTGGTGAGATACTGAGGTCTGATACTTCATCCACGACTGACGATAGGAATCAGCTTGTGGCAAAGGAAAACTTCCTCATCAAGGTAAATTATGTTTACATACATGTACACACACACACACACACACACACACACACACACAGCCACTTTATTAGGTACACCTTGCTAGTACCAGGTTGGACCCCTTTTGCCTTCAGAACTGCCTCAGGTCTTGGTGACATAAATTCTACAAGGTGCTGAAAACATTCCTCAGAGATTTTGGTCCATATTGACATGATGACATCATGATGACATCACATGATGAGAATCTGCCGTTCCATCACATCCCAAAGGTGCTCTATTGGATTGAGATCTGGTGACTGTGGAGGCCATTGGAGTACAGTGAACTCATTGTCATGTTCAAGAAACCAGTTTGAGATGATTTGAGCTTTGTGACATGGTGCGTTATCCTGCTGGAAGTAGCCATCAGAAGATGGGTACACTGTGGTCATAAAGGGATGGACATGCTCAGCAACAATACTCATCAATACGCTCTGTGGTGTTTAAATGATGCTCAGTTGGTACTAAGGGGCCCAAAGTGTGCCAATAAAATATCCCCCACACCATTACACCACCACCACCAGCCTGAACCGTTGATACAAGGCAGGATGGATCCATGCTTTCATGTTGTTTACACCAAATTCTGACCCTACCATCTGAATGTGGCAGCAGAAATCCAAACTCATCAGACCAGGCAATGTTTTTCCAATCTTCTATTGTCCAGTTTTGGTGAGCCTGTGTGAACTGTAGCCTCAGTTTCCTGTTGTCAGCTGACAGGAGTGGCACCTGCTGCTGTAGCCCATCTGCTTCAAGGTTGGACATGTTGTTGGTTCAGAGATGGTCTTCTGCAGACCTTGGTTGTAACCAGTGGTTATTTGAGTTACTGTTGCCTTTCTATCATCTTGAACCAGTCTGGCCATTCTCCTCTGACCTCTGGCATCAACAAGGCATTTTTACCCAGAGAACTGCCCCTCACTGGATATTTTCTCTTTTTGGGACCATCATCTGTAAACCCTAGAGATGTATTTATATTTCACATGTGCATTTTTTTCCTCTTTTTTTCTGCAGGCTCATGTTGGAAGAGAGGACTTGGTGTAGAGCAGCACAAAACCAAAGACGACCCCCTCGTACTTTTCACAAACTGATCACACAACCTGTTTCAACAGTAAAACACTCACAGGCTGCAGTCTCGTGTTAAAATGCTCTGCTTCTTTATTCTGACATGACCTGACATTGATTTTAAATGTATTAACACACAGAGATAAAGATATTAGATGTTGGGGAACAGAAAGTTAAATGCACTGCCTTCTAATGAATTAATAAAGATTAAAGCAATAAATAAACTTCTTGTGGTTCTTATGCAGCATTTGCTTTTCTTTGTGAAGTCTGATTTCTAAAATGGATGTTGGCTTAAAAATGTTAACGCTGCCTGGATCATGTTCACAGGCAACAAATCTTTCAGGTCACCAAACGCTCTTGTCTAAGGTGTAGGCACCATTAAGGTTGGGAAAGATCTGATCACACAAACCAGGAAACATTCTCCTCAAAAGACAAATGATTTCAATCACAGACAACACGGCACATGAAAATGTTCTGTTAACTTTGACAAAAAAGAAATGCAAGCAAGTCCAGTCGCCAATATAGCACTTATGATTACCATGACCTGGATGACTGAGAATCTGACTGATCTGAGGTGGAGTGAGGTGGTGTAGGAAAGGAGAGCGTCATGAAATATACATATAGACAAGGTTGCATTAGGGTGTATAGGTTTTATTTACGAGCAACATCATGAGAACCATGAATGAAGTAGGCTGCTTCAAATCATAAGAGATGAAATGGTACCGAAAGTTTCTGGGACTGCGAGACAGTAACATGTCAGTGGTGTGGGATGTAAACGATACTCTGTAATCTGAAGACAAAATCTAGAAACATTGAGAACACTATCCAAAAAATCAGACTGAAGACTGAAATTACCTGCAGGTATCACTGAGCTGTTAGCCTGTGTGACATTAGTGTAGAGTATTTCTTCCTGTTTAGTCGGATGATGATGAAACTACTCTGAATATGTCTCATAAAACACTTTAAAGTAACACCAGACTGTTTCTGCTGCTGAGGTAAAGGGTGGACAAGTAGTTAATGACTGATGAGGTCTGTGTGACCCAAATGTTGCATGTATTATAACTGGAGCCAATTAACTGTGTGTGGATGCTCTGGAGCAGGTTAGCAGTTCAGCATAAGTTACCACGGTGATTTTTC